GCGATCTCAGAACTTTTCGATTGCACCATCAGGTTACTGTTTCATTTTTAGAACCCATTTTATCACCTAAGACTTTGCAGCCAGGAGGTACGTTTGTTAAATGCCAAGTCTTATTAGCTTTCAACGATTCCATTTCATCTATAACGACCTCATTACAAAAGTCTGCATCTATGAAGTTAATGCTTCCTGCAAACGTTCGGGATCTTCGAGGGTGTATACTATACTGAAGTCATCACCAAAATCTTTGGAGATTCTAGCTCTTTTACTTCTTCTGAGTTCATCCTCGGATCCAATACCCCCACTAGTTCCGTTATTTCTAATATCGGGTAGTACATTACTCCCACTATTTCTCGTTTTAAATGGAAATCGTGTCTCAAAGAAATCACCATCAATGGATTCTATTATAGTACGAGCATTCAAATCATAAAATCTATATGCCTTACTATTGACCACATAGCCAACGAATACACATTCATATGCTCAACTAGCCAACTTAATCCTCTCAGGATCCGAAATTCTTATGTAGTCCAAACAGCCCCACGTTCTTAAATAGGACAGATTAGGTGGCTTATTCTTCAAGATCTCATAGGGTGACTCTTTAATATTTGTTTTTGGAAGACGATTTAGCACATAGCAAACCGTCAACAAAATATCACCCCCACCAAGAAGAAGTAGCTCCAGTATTGAGCATAATAGCCACAACTAATTCTGTGAACGTCCTATTTTCCGCTCAGCTTTACCATTCATTTCTGGTGAATATGGTGCCATGGTTTCATGAATGATACCATGTGAGCTATAGAATTCTTTGAAGGGATTAGAGTCATACTATGATCCTCTATCACTCCTAAGTCGTTTTATTTTTTGATTGCACTGATTTTCAAACTCAACCACAAATACCTTGAACATATCAAGGGCTTCACTTTTGTTTTTTATCAAATAAACAAAGCAATAATCATAGCAATCATCTATGAAAGTGATAAAGTATCTCTTGCCAGACCTAGTTAACGTCACATCTAGTTCACAAATATAAGAATGAATCAGATCTAGGGGTTCTGATTTTCTACTCACAGATTTATGGGGCGTTTTTGTTATCTTAGCTTGGCTCCAGAAATCACATTTATCAAATGCATTCATTGAGAGTTTAGGGATATGTCCTAGCTTGCTTAAATTCTTCATAATTCATGTTTTCACATGACAAAGACGAGCATGCCAAACATTCAAATCACACAACATGTAAACCAAAGAATTCATCTTATTAATTTCGACATTCAACTTGAACATCCCATTACATGCATATCCCTTTCCCACAAAACTCCCATTCTTAGTAAGGGTATACAAGTCAGCCCCAATAGATTGATTAAACCCAACCTTATTAAGAAGATATCCCGAAACAAGATTCTTCCTCATCTATGGAGTGTTCAACACATCCTTGAGCACCAGCTTCTTCCCAGAGGTGAAGTTCAGCTCCACTTCACCAGAACTAGCAACCATAGTGGTGTAGGCAGTCCCTAGAAGCACTTTCTTGTTAGCAAGTGCTTCTGTGTATGTTTTAAACATAGCACAATTGTTGCATACATGCTTCGATGCACCTGTATCCTACCACCATCCTTTTGAGTCATCGGTGAGGTTGACTTCATCAATCATATCCGTGATCATGGCTACCAAGTCCTCTTCTGTCAAGTTAACCCTGGCAGCAGCAGCAGGGTTAGGCTTGTTCCTAAACTTTTTTGCCATATGACCTGGTTTACCGTAGTTATAGCAGATAAACGGTGGGTCATTCTTAGAGGTTTGGGTCGTGACCCTTTGGTTACCTCGAGAGACACCATTCTGGTTGGGGCAGACCTGCTGGTTCTTACTCTTGAAACCTTTTTGGTTAGGTTTCAGAGCTCTAGGGGTGGGTCGTTTAGAAGTGACAACCATCACCTCTTCTTTCATATCCTGGTTGAGGGACTCTTCGTCAATCCTTAGGCGAGTACTCAAGCTTTCCAGTGAAAATTCTTTAGTTTTATGTCTAAGCATATTCTTAAAATCTTTCCACGAAGGGGGCAGCTTATCAATAATGCAAGCAACTTGAAACTGATCGTCCAGAGGCATACCTTCAGAGACGATCTCATGAGCTATCTTTTGAAGTTCATGGGATTGAACTTCGACGGACTTGTCATCCACCATCTGGTAGCGCAGGTAGCGGCTGACAGCATACTTCTTAGCTCCAGCCTCCTCCGTGTCGTACTTCTTTTGGAGCACATCCCAGATCATCATTGCAGTGTTCTTCCTGTCCGCATAATAGTCGTAGAGGTCATCCGCCAGGCCATTGAGGATGTAGTTCTTGCACAGGAAGTCTTCCTCCCTTGCCTCGGCAGAAGCACCCCTCTCCTCACCAGTCGTCTCTTCAGGCAGCTCGACCGGCATAGTGGTGTGGCAGTGGGCTAGCCTCTTGGTTGTCAGGTAGAACTCCATCTTTTGTTTCCAGCGACGGAAGTTGACCCCAACGAAGTGGAAGGGTCGATTGATGTCGACATCCTCAGATTTGGTCATGTTGTTCTGTTCAGTCACCATAGCAGCAGCACAACATCTTAAAATTGTTAGAAATGGAACAACAACCAAGAACGAGGTTACCGAATCTGGAGCTGAGTCGCGGACTAGATCGCTCTCTTTAAGACATTCGCGGCACTGCCCTCGACGCGCACAACAGACTATCAACCGGTCGTCTCCAGGATAAAACAGCTCCTCTTGTATGCTCGGCGGTTCTGTGCGAAAACCGGAGCTCTATGAACACTCTCTCTATTGTGTTTCTGCTCATTGTGGTGTGTTTAGAGGGTCTGAGGGGTCGGCTATTTATAGGAGCCAAGTCCCCCAGAATATTCCTCTTTCGTGGGGAAAAAGTCACGGTAATTAAGGAGATAATCACTTCTTAATTAAAATTGTGACGGTTAAAATAAATCATGTTGGATTATCCTTCGAATATTCCGTTTAATCAATTATCCTCTTCCAACTCGTATTTATCTAGGATAAAGAATAACCGATTAATAATTAATAAATAGGTAATTAATTTTGTTCAAAATTTCTCCAAAAAATTATAGTCTCAACCAACCGGCTGGTCGGACATACGAACGGCGTGCAAGCGTGTGTGTGGTGATCCGTTAGGTCCTCCCTCCCCCACAAAAGTGGGTCACCCCAAGGAGCATGCCCTTAGGAGAGAGGTTTCTTTTTTTATACACGTTTCACCAAAGTAAACCTATCAATGTGATAGCTTTTCTTTCTTGAGACTTTATAGCTTTCAAAACTATTCATTTCCAACAACTTATTGTTCTTAGGATTGTGCATTTAACAAAGTAGGAATCTGTAATTCTATAATCTTCTTTTCATTTGTGTTTCTGAATGTTCCAATTATTATGCGTACAGTGGCTTGATTGTGTTGCTTTGCCATTTAACAAATTGAGGCTCTGCATATTTTTGTGCAGAATCAGGTTTCTACTCTTCGGAGGGTGCATGGAGCAAGTTGTGACATTTGTTTTTGTGATCCTGAACAAATTGTGTAGTGAAGTATTAGAGCAAGTGATAATGTTTGAGCATTATTATGTGTTTTTGCATTGCACGCATACACAAACTGACAATATGAGACTCAAAGAAGCACCTGCCGATTGGGAAAAACTTGTGTGTTAAACTCTTACGTTGACATTACTGAATTGGAGAGGAACAATGAGTACTAGAGGAAAAATGAGCATGAGAGGTTCACTTTGGTTTATATAAAAAAAATCATAGGCTAATAGACAAACAACTAATAATAAAGGCAACAAGGTAAATTGAACTTTATACCCACAAATATCATTCAATCAAGTCTATCGTCAAATCCAACAAGCAAACAAGGGTAACAAGGTAAATTGAACTTTATACCCACAAATATCATTCAATCAAGTCAAACGCCAAATCCAACAAACAAACAAGGGTTTCGTCCAAATCCATAATGGATCAATTCCATCATATATCCATGGTTTTATAAAATTCATGTTTTAACAACCGCTAAGTGATGGACATTATCTCTTGGTCCTCTCCCAAACCCAACACCGACCTCAACTTTTTGTGTAGTTGCTTGTAACATACAGTTTTATTGATTCTCAAGTTCTTATATTCTCCACCTTCATACCCAATGCCTTCGTTGGTCTCTGAGATGGCACCTCCCCCAGCATATAGACATTAAAAAAAAACACGTGTAGTCATCCTATGAAATGAATACAACCTAAAAATTAGTGTAAAGCTTAACAAAATTTCCTATGTTCATCATTATGCAAAGTTCCCTGGAGTAAAGGTTGGGTGTCCTTGGCTCAGCATTATAGCACATAGAGCTTCAAAGCTACTACAGCGCTTCGCTAACTCGAAGCGCCTCGCTATGAGAATGACGCTTCGCTAACGCTCGGCGAAGTCTTTTTCCTTCGCGCTGACCGTTCGTTTTCTCAGTAGCAAAAGCGCTTCTCTTTGCCCCTTAAGTAGAAGGATTAGAAATAGAAATTCGGTTTTATTGCTCCACATCTACGCTCGTCAAGCCAACTTTGCTTTTTGGGAGGTGAAACAGCGGTTGAAGCGGGCATTTCGAAATGACAGCATCGAAGAGAAATTTAGATATATACCGCGCTAATCTGAACTCCCACGTGTACGTTGGTGAAACCTGTAGTGGGGGCGAAGATGCAATAATAACTTCATTCTCTATGCTTGGTGTTCGTTCTTCTCTTTAGTCTGACTAGCTAGGCTCGGCTAGGGTTCGAATTAGTACATTGAGTCCTGACACTACACTCTGAGTGAGTCTCGGCACAGGATGATTCAGTTTGAAGCTTAAATTTGAATTTGGGCAACCCTTCAATGGTGATTTGTCGATAGAGCTTTATAAGAGTGCATTGAGTCTCTCCCGAGATCCGAGTTCGTATTTTGCCTGCGTGTACTCCTTTCTCTCCCAGCGAAAATGGGAACATAATACTTTAGTCTAACGCAGATGGTTGTGTTATCTATGGTTTGGCTGCCAGGGTTCTCAAGTTCAGTTCACAACCACAACTCAATGTGCGTATCCAAGGAGTCCAGCATTGGGTCTTGGTTTGACCGCGGCTGTTTCGCTGATGCTGGCTCAAGTAATCATTAACATCGCTACTGGTTGCATATGTTGTCGAGGAAGCCCTCACTCATCTCATTCCAACTGGACTCTAGCTTTAGTCTGCTTTTTCGTTTCATGGTAAGAATCAGCCTCACCATTTAGTTTCTTCTGGTAATGTGTTCATGCTCAGCTTGCTTGCTTCATGTCTGGAGTTAGGCAAACTTTTTGTTCCCCAGTCAAAATGAAATATGAAGGGGATGCTTCAGTCCAATCCTGAATTCTTACTGCTCTTGAAATGGACACTGCAAGGCTTCCTTGCTGATATGACTAGAATTGAATACTTACACAGCATATAAATTTCATCTAAGTGACGCAAATGAATTGATCGCTCGTGTTATCTTAGGATATGCTAGCTAACTTTGGAGGAGCAATGTAAGTAGGCCTGTTTTGCTAGGGGTCCCAGATTACAAGAGTCTGAATACTTAACCACTATTTGAGACTCCCTCAAGTCATGTAGTTGACCTAAACTGCAGAATGTCAATCTTTGGTTGACCTTCTATCAATGACTAAACTGGAGGTAATAAGTTCAGTTTTCTGATCATTGCAGATGTCACCTTTGTCGGTCTTTTCCATTTTCAAATTTAAGGGAAAGTTTCTCAAAAGATTTTGCTCTACGATATCTGAAAAACAAAACAAACAAACTCATTGCAGATTTGTGTGATTAGAGTACTCATATTGGGTGGACGGTATTTAGGGAAATGGTGGTGGAGAAAATTGGGATTGTGGGTCTATTTGTATTGCTTGGTCATGAGTGAACTTGGAAAGATAATGGCATGGGCTTATCTGCATAAGGTACTGTTTTTTTAGATTTGCACATAAAAAGTTTAGTTATATCTCCTCTTCATTTTGAAGAATAGTTATATTTCTAATGTTGGTGTCAAATTTTGAACGTAGGGTGGGAATTCAATTTGACAGCTATGTTGCTCTTTACTACAATGTACAGAAATTAGCCCATTACAAAACCTCTGTTCTCTTTCAAAAAAAAAAAAAAAAAAACAAAAAAACCTCAGTTCAATGTTCATGGTGCCGACATATGTGTAATCAGTATTGCTGTGGAGTAATTTACTTGATTTAGGAAGAGCTTTTTGTTAGGCCATGTTAACTTGTATGTTCAAGAATAGTATGCCACTCAGAGTAGGGTTATAACTCCCTCGCAGAGGTGAATGCAGGCAGACAATTAAGAAAGTAAATCCGAGACTTGATCAAAAGATATGTGGCTATGTGGGTTGCTCGTTCTTTTCACTTGGTATGGTTCAGCTTCTGAAATTCGAAGTATTGTGTTTGAGTTTGACTGTGTCTGAGTGCTGCTATTGTTATTATTATTATTATTATTATTATTATTTTTATAATAAGTGCTACTCTTACTGCAGGTTCACCTTTGTGGTGGCATTTCTCCTGCTGCTAACTGGAGCTGCACTGAATGATCAACACGGTGAACAGAGCATGTACTTTGGCAACTACTACTGCTACGTTGTGAAGCCTGGAGTGTTTGCTGGAGGTGCATTGCTGGCCCTTGCCAGCGTGACCCTCGGAATCTTGTATTACCTCGCTCTAAATTCTGCAAAGAGTGGTGGCAGTGGCAGCTTCTTATGGGGTGGCCATCATCCTCCCACAACAACTGGTCCTATGAATAACAGTGGGATAGCTATGGGACAACCCCAATTTCCGGCGCAAAGCAGCAGCACCACCACCCAAGATCCAGTTTTCGTGCATGAAGACACCTACATGAGAAGGCAATTCACATGATTTTGGGAAGCTCTGTGAGGGAGAGCTGGTTTCTTGTTGTATTCGAGGATGAAATGTGTAGAGGAGCTGTATAGTTTGGCAATCTTGTGTCTATCAGGACTTGTTTGTGAGGACGAAGAAATGCTTGGTTGGTTCGAGTATTTTTTTACTTAAAAAATGAGTTTGAGTTCGTGTGTTAAAAATGTGTGTTACGCAAAGATGTGATGTGATGAACACCCTCAGTTCAAGGTCCTAAGTTTACTAGATTAAGTCTAATTTTTTTTTACTAATTTATGTTTCATGTGATCACTCACAGAGAATTAAATATTTTTCATAAGCGATAGTTATCTTTGATAATATATCAAAAAATTATATAATATTTTATGCAAGACGGCGGTGGGATTACATTTACAACGGTGACCGGTGTTGAGAATCGAATTGGAAAAATTGGGGAAGAAGTGAGAGGCACGATGCCGTTTCGTAGGCGGAGACTCGGGAAAAATAATAACCATACGAGATATTAAATTGCTGAGCTGGGATAGGACTGTAAATGAGTCGAGTTAAGCCGAGTTTTATCCTTGTTTGAGTTCGGCTGGTTAATATATAAACGAGTTGAGCTCGAACTCGACTTGTTTATTAACGAACAGAGTCGAGTCGAGTTCGAGCTAGCTTGCTTAATAAAATCTTTACTCATATTTGATATATTCATTTTGTATGTCATATATGATACATGAAATTAATGTTAAGATGAAAATAATGATAATAATTGTTAAGTGTTCAATATTAACTAATCTCATGTAATACTTTGTGGTATCAAATTATTTAGTTAATAAATTTTAAGTAGCGAAAATTATGTTATTTCAGAGTAACGAAGCCATCTATGATACATAATTGCTTTTCAAATTTAAATAAGACATATTTGCTCACCTAATCTACGTGTTAAACTTCATATAGGGTTAGATATATAATTTAACAATCCTATGAATTATCAAAAGCAAACTCATATAGATCGATTCGCTCATAACTCGGTAATCGCGTTGACTCTCTAGCCACAATGTTGAGAGTTGAGGCATCTCATGAGCTCTAAAAGAGCCAACTCACGAGTTAAGCTCAACAAGCCACCGATTCAAGTTAGCTCGTGAGCTCTGCAAGCTGCAGAAGACTAAACTCAAGCTCGGCTTATTAGTAAACGAGCCGAGTTTCGAACGAACTTTTTTCCGACTCGAGTGTCGAGCCGCTCACTAACAGCTCGACTCATTTGCAGCACTTGGATAAGAAACAAGAGTCGACTAGTAACATCTCCGCTGCAGTATAAATTTGTTTAAACAACGTATCGCCTTATTCATATAAAACTAATCATTAGTCCTCGATCAGCTGCATCCCTACTATTTTTGGATTTATTATTGTAATTAGTGTTGAATGATTTGATTATGATAGTTGTTTAGATGTTGGAGTGTGGATATGCGTTTGTTCATGATCGGTTCTTCTATTATGATATACATATGTTTGAATATGAAGGAGTTTTTCCTTAATTCTTTTTTTGTTTTCTGTATGTGACAAGGACTAGGGTACACATGACGTATAATATATGATTACATGTACTAGAAGTTGATCATTTTCTTTTTACTAGGTGAACGTAACTAAAATTAAGTATTGTGATTGTGTTGCTAGAAGTTTGTAGTATGATCTAAACTATCTTGTTTGGAAAAATAGCTTTGTGTGTAGGAGTAGTAGAGATGTTTGTACCTAATTGGATCCTAGATTTGACATTTAATTTGAGGGAATCTTGCTTTCCTCTGAGGAATAATATATCACAAACCTAACGTTACACGTGAGTAGAATATGATTTGTTCTCGCTCATGGGTAATGTTACACTTACGATTTATAGATATGTGTACAAACTATTATATCGATATTTGGTAGGCAGTTAGCGAAGCATCCCTATCCATGTGGAATGGGATTAGGTGCTAACCTCCTAGCACCATGCTAATTGTATTTTTACCCGTTAGATGGAAAATTTTAATTAATGGTCAAGATTAATGGAAGGTTAATTTAGTAAAAACTACAATCACTAACCCTAATATATATACAATCCCACCCCCACATCCCACCACAGCCGCTATACTATCCCTGAAACCATTTTTCTGCCTCCCTCTTCCCACGTTGTCAAAAAACAAAAACAAAACTATTTTTTTCCTCTGATGCCTCCATTGTTTCTCTCAATGGGAGAAGGAAGATCCGGAGAAGGCAAATATGTTTTCTTGTCGGCGTCCCACGATGGAGAAAGACGGTTTCTCGCCAGAGCTTGAAGATGAGACCACGACGAAAGGGATTTGTGTTGGAGGGAAGATCGACCGAGCTTCTAACGTCAAAGAAGGAAGATCTGTTCGTTTTTCGTGATCCGAGAACGGAGAAGGCAGTTCTTGCCAGCACGGTGGAAGCGGGGACCACGACGGGTCTAGTCACAAAGGCTTTCTAACGTCGATGAAGGCATATATGTCCGTTTGCCGGCATCCCACAGCGGAAAAGGCAGATCTGGCCAGCGCGATGGAATCTTGCACCAAGATGGAAGGGGCCAGGTGACAGACAAATCTGTAATTGTTATGTAATTATGTAGTGCTTAGTAGCTTATTAGGGAGACGAATGGCCATCTGTGGGACGTAGTGATTAGTTATATATTAGTAGCGTATTGAGGAGAGGAATGACAGATTTGTTGATTATTCTCAGTAGTGATTATGTGGTACTATTTTGTATCTATTGACATGTAAATCACTATTAAAACACGCAATCAAAATCATTATTAGAATCACTACAACAGAAGTGTTAAAGCACTACTAATTTGTCATTTACATTAAAATCAATAATGACATAAAAATAAAAACACTAACAAAATTGGGAAAAAATCCAAAAGTACCAGTGTTTAATTTTTTTTTTCCAAAAATACCACCCAACCCCAAAAAATTCCAAAAATACCACCCTTTTTCAAAAACCGCCACCCCACCCAGCGGTTTGGTCGAAAACCGCTTGTCGGGGGCGCGGTTTTGGACCAAACCGCGGGCCTAGGGGGCGGTTATAAAAAAAAAAAAAATTGGACCAAAACCGCTGGGTGGGGTGGCGGTTTGGCTCAAAACCGCCACCCCATCCAGCGATTTGGTCCAAAAGTTCGGTCGAAACTTCAAACAAACGTAACTTTGCACTCGGGTATCCGATCGTAGCGATTTTTTTTTTCATTTCGCATAACTTTTCAAGATCTACAACTTTTACTAGGATGAAATTTTCAAAACAGGAACTATTTGTGGAAATACGGGACCTTGAGAATAACTTTACCTTTACTTTTCAGAAATCCATGTACATTTTGAAATTATGATTATATTAAAAGTTGTAGATCTTGAAAAGTTATGCGGAATCAAAAAAAAGTTCATAACATTCGGAGTTTGGAGCACAAAGTTATGGCCGCCCAAAGTTTGGCGAAAGGCGAGACCCGGCGGTTTGCGGCTTGCAAGATCTCAAAAAGTTTGCGGCCTCCATTTTTTGAATCCGAATAAATTTTTGAGATCTTGCAATTCTCAAACAGTCGGGTTCCGTCTTCGTCTCGAAAAAACGTCATTTGCCACCCCGAACGACATTTTTTTTTATTTCGTCAAACTTTGGGCGGCCATAACTTTGTGCTCCAAAATCCGAATGTCATGAATTTTTTTTTTATTCAGCATAACTTTTCAAGATCTACAACTTTTAGTATAATTATAATTTCAAAATGTACATGGATTTCTGAAAAGTAAAGGTAAAGTTATTCTCAAGGTCCCGTATATCCACAAATAGTTCCTGTTTTGAAAATTTCATCGTTGTAAAAGTTGTAGATCTTGAAAAGTTATGCGAAATGAAAAAAAAAAAATCGCTACGATCGGATACCCGAGTGCAAAGTTACGTTCGTTTGAAGTTTCGACCGAACTTTTGGACCAAACCGCTGGTTGGGGTGGCGGTTTTGGGCCAAACCGCCACCCCACCCAGCGGTTTTGGTCCAAATTTTTTTTTTTTTATAACCGCCCCCTAGGCCCGCGGTTTGGTCCAAAACCGCGCCCGCGACAAGCGGTTTTCGACCAAACCGCTGGGTGGGGTGGCGGTTTTTGAAAAAGGGTGGTATTTTTGGAATTTTTTGGGATTGAGTGGTATTTTTGGAATTTTTTTTTAAACAGTGGTACTTTTGGATTTTTTCCACAAAATTGTTAAATCCCTACTAATCTAAGTAGTAGTGATTTTTCAGTATTAATTTTATCAGCGATGGAATTCTTTGCGTGATAGATATTTATAAATATTTTTTTCTTAAACTTAATTTTATGAAATACCAAACATACCCTTTGTTACTCTTTACCATTAGATTTAACTTAAATATAATGAATGATGATGAGAATGGTTAGCATGGTGCTAACCCTCAGAGAGTTAGCACTCTAACTCCTCCCTTGTCGATAAATTGTGTATTGGTTCTAGCCGGTAAAGGGTTATGACAATGAAGCTTTATCGGACACGAGTTAGTACAAAAATATTGTGGACAATTCTCGATTCGGATCATTCGTTGATCAAATAAGTTGTTAAAATACTTAGTAATTGATTGCATACTATAAAAGACATTCTGTCTTCTTGTTTTCCTTTCGTACTAATCATCTTCTTCTATGGTTTTATCATTGAAACTGTCACATTCGAGTTCAGTGCGAACAAAGTCTCATTCAATTGGTTGATCACTTGTTCTTGGTTATACTTTTCAATTTTTGAACAACAAACCATTTATGTTTTTTATGAACTGGTGGTAATATATTTAAAAACCGGCGAATACTAACAATATATTTTGTATCTCTTTCTTCTTTTATTTATGCATGGATATCAGATAACTGCTCAGTCATAGACTCATAGTTACTTAATTTCATTTTTCTATTATTCTAAGGCTAATTGTACAATGAATTGAGTTGCTCAACAACTTGACATTTTCTAAATGTCCTATAATTACATGGGGTTTACCGTTCATTAGAGGTTTTGTCTCCATTAGATGATGTTATGAATGTTTCCCTAAATTCTTCCTTAGTTCGCTAACCGATCACCTCTTTTCGTCGAGAAATTTTACAATGCTATATAGTATTGGTGCTATAGGTTTTTGACTTTATGGTACAACTTAAAATTGTACATTTAAGTTATGGTACA